AGCTGATATTTAGCCATTTAAATCCAAAACTGAAAACCATATTTAAAATGTCTTATACTAAATCTGTCAGCAAATGGCATAAAAACCAACAACAAAAAAATGTTAAATCTAAATCCTTGTGCCAAAGATCCTTTTGTTCTAAGAACAATGGTTTTACAAACATGACAGTGTCAAATGGTTGCATTTGATGCTGTGAGTCATTGCTGCTGTAAGAAAATATGGGCCTTGGATGCAGTTTATTTGCAACTCTCAATGCAGAATGAGATTAGCAATCGCTTTCGGTCCTTGGAGAGTTGTTTTACTGCAAGGCTCATGCAAATATGCAACCGAGTTCACAAAGCTCTGCAGTTGTCTTAGGCTGCATATCACAACTTGTTGACTGTGTTCCAAAGCTCCTCTGGATATTCACATATGAATGTGAGTGCCTTTCAAAAATGTTCATACCCCTGTTCAATTATATTTTGGTTAGTTACAAGTTTAATGGAGGTTATTGAACTTTTACAAGATCAACACAAAGCAGAGCACAGTAGCTAAATGAAAGGAAAAAAAATGATTGATCAATCATTTCCAGGATTTTAAAAAATAAATAAATCTAAATTAAAGACCACAACAGACTGTTATGAAGAAAGTTGTGGAGAATTGTAATGCAGTGTTAATAAAATAATATCCAAAACTTAAAGTATAGAAGTAGAGAAGTAGAGCCCATCAGCACCAAAAAAATTTAATGGAGTGACTACTTTGCAAACACCAGCCAAAAGTGTGTCATGTACAAATCCCAAGCTAAATTTTCTGTCAAATAATTTAAATATGCTCTGCAAAAAATTGCAAATAATTTGAATTCAAGTAAAACAGAAAAATAATGGTCCACTATGGCTCAAACTCAATCAATATGGCAGGAGAACATGAGATTTAAGGGCATCAAAGTTAATTCATGTCACCCATTTTGAGTATTTTCTATTTGTCACAAATGTGAAAAACTACGTATCATTTTCCTGAGGTCCCATTTTTAGTTTGTCTATCACATAAAAAATGCTTCCAATAAAATACACTGAAGTTTGTTTCTGCAATTCAACAAAATATGAAAATGTTCAAGGGGTTGTAACACTTCAGCAAGGCAATGCATGTCAGACAACCCAAACGATAAAACCTGACTCAATTTGGGGGACATTACTGGTTGGAGTTCAAGCACTGAGATGAGGAAGCACAAAAGAGATGATGGTGAAAGCCTGAGGACAAGAGCTGACAGTAGCAACACTCAGGCTTCTACAGCTATGATGAAAGAAAAGAATGTGGATGGAAGCCTGAATGCCACACTCTGGAGGCAGCATTGTAGGGGCTGCACAATGGCAGACAAGTGAATGGATGGCTTCATGATATATAAAAGCACAGAAGATCCTTTTTTTATGCTGGACACAGACAGAACAACAGGATCAAAAGTAGAAGTGAGCAGGTGATTGTATTACTATCAGACAAAGAGCATGTCAGTGATGCATCATTCAACATCCAACAAAACACTGGTATGACTATTTTAAAATGTGCATCAGTAGCAACCCTAAAATTGTTTTTAATACTTTAAAAATACATCTAGAAGTTAGAAAAGGATGTTTGCTTCATTTCATGATTTAATAACTAAATGAAAGAAAAACTACTTTAAAAGCACTGAAGTGTTTTGGGTTTAAAATACACCAACAAAGTACAGTAAACAGTTTATAAAAGGATTATAATTCAAGGTGGAAGAACTAAAACTGGATTTTCTGTACTTCCAGAAACTGTAAAGCAAAAGTCTCCCCCCTGAAGGACAACCATGCATTGTGGGCATAAAAGCAACTGATTATGTCATGGTCAAAGGTTAAAACATGACTCAGTCTAGTTGTACTTTGAATTAAAGAAAGTGTACAAGCTGTAAAAGAAGTCATTTAATTTTTTTTGGACCAAGGCCATGACGCCAAAAGAAAAAGAAAAAGTCTTTGGCTTTTGACAGAAAGTTGTCAGAATGACTGCTATTTGTAGCTTTACTAAAACAAAGAAATACATTTTATGAAGCGTTATTCAGGTTCCTGGAAGCATTCAGAGGTCAGGCAATGTGAAACAGTGCTCGGTTGGTTTCGTGTAAATGTCGACACTGCTTAGGTGCACATTTTTTATGCGAGTAATTTTTGAAAGTAATTTTGAATAACAAGAAAACGGGTCTCATCGAGGGGCCCCAGCAGACTGATAAGACCAAGAAGTATATTAAAAGCTCCACATTACCAGTTCTAATGAATGTAGAATATTTCCTTTGTTTGTCTTTATGAGTTTATGGTAGCTTTAAGGTATTGTACTGCCTCGTAAGCAACAAATTACTTCTGTGATGAGAAATACATTTCTTGACCCCGGTCTAGCTAAATGAAACTTTTGAGCCACAAATATTACATAAACATTTGAAAAAAGTGTTTCATAGACGGTATCAATAATTACCGACTTATTTTTCTGTTATAAAAATCAGTGTCACTGCCAAACTGGAGGCGCGACTTTTCCTGTTTTATCAACAATGTTCACTCCACGTCGTTTATTTTTAAGCAGTTATGTGACACATTGGCAAAACCTTGATCTGCTACTGAACAAGTTACTCGGCAGATTGTAGCTTGGTAACCTTACAGTGAGTGAGTTGCAAGGTAACCAAAGTGCGGGTTAGTTGATCCCACCCACCTTGCTTAGCTGGCAGTGAGGTGTTGAGTGGCTAAAGCAGGGGTGGGCAACTCCAGGCCACGAGGGCCGGTCTCCTGCAACTTTCAGATGCGTCTCTACTTCAGCACACCCGAGTCAAATAATGAGGTTATTAGCAGGACTCTGGAGAACCTGACTGCACTTCGGAGGTGATTCAGTGATTTAATTCAGCTGTGTTGGACCAGAGAGGCATCCAAGAGTTGCAAGACACCGGCTCTCGAGGACCAGGATAGCCTACCCCTAGGCTAAAGGCTTTCTTCTGCCTACATTCCTCATAATGCTTTGCATTTCTGGATCAGAGTTCAGTTACCGACTAATTGTCGATCTCTTACAAATAACAACAATAATTTTTAATAAATATCTATGGAAAATGTGCTTTAAATGAATGAAAATTATATAAAACGGCAGAGAAGGGGAAAGTCATTCCAGTGTTGAGAAAGTGCAAAATCCAGAGATACTTGTCAGAGGCTCTCAAAAACAGAGGAAAGCTTCACTTTTTTTTAACATCAATCCATGTTATCTTCCACTCAATTCGGGGTTAAGTCGTTGGGAAGCTCCAGACTTCCCCTAGTCACAAATTAAAAGGCATTTAAATCCTTGATGACACATGCATCAATCTCTGTTTTGCACAGCACAAAAGAATGAAAACTACAATACTGCTTTCTGAAAAAAAGAACTGAGTTACTGCTCTGTCCAGCCTCCTGAGGAATCTCCTGACTTTTGATGGTTGGGTGAGGGGGTTGAAAAAAATAACATGGACTGCCGGCATTACATGAATCTGTCTTGGCCTGTGCCATTTACCACACCGAGGACTACTAGGAAAACAGCCTGAAGGCATACAACACCAACAGACTCCAGAAATTGATTAAGCCGGCTCAGACCTGGGTGGAGGCGAGCCATCTGTATGCAGTGAAGGATATTTTCAAAACTTCTCTCTCCATCACCGACGATGTCTCCTGCCCACTAAACAGCATCCTGGCATGCCTGGAAACTCACACTGACTAATTCCCAAAACTGGAATGGAATTAGTTAATCTGTGTTCACGTGTTTAACAACAATTATCTCAACTTGCATCACAATTTGATTTATATTTTTAATAAACTTTTCAATCATCTGAGCTTTAGTTTTTGGGTAATATTTTCACTCTTTAACTTCATGGTAAATTTGTCCTGATTTAGTCTGACATATTTTGTTGTTTCTTTTTTTTAAGGCCAACATTTGTACGGAAAAATAAAGTCTTAATAATGGAATTATAATGGAGTGTATAGTGTTATCAAAATTAGCTTTTTTTGCCAAGTTTATGTGCATAAACAAGGAATTTCACTTTAAACAGACATCGAATATAAATATGCAAACTTTTAGGAGCATAAAAATACAACACTATGTATATATAAATATATACATAATTTACATGCTAAAATATAGTGCAAATATGCATATATTGTTTTACAACACAGTAGCTAACTACTCTGGCTGTACGGTGTTCATTCTGTCAATTGGATTAACAGCCTGAGGGAGGAAACTGTCTCTGTGGCAGCTGGTTTTTGGATATGTGGGGTCTGAAGTGATATTATCTGCTGGTTAGGTACGACATAAATTATTACTCATCCATTAACCAGGCTACTGCATTCATCGTAGTTTGATAATAAATAGAAAGCGCAAACATCAACAACTTTTACTCACACACATAATAAGAAATCACAAAATTGAGGCAGTTATGCTGACCTAAATCTTGCATGGTTATTTTGTTATTGAGCAAATAATAATAAAAATCATTTTGTATTTTTAATAAAAAATATATATATTTTTTGTGGTTTACATGAGCTTTTAACAAGACAATTTTGGTCTTCATGGCAACAAGTTTGGGCAGCTTCTTTAAGGTCATGAATTATATTCAAGATCTGAAAGTTTTCTGATCCTCTATAATATTGATTTATAAAGAAATGAGTTAGAGTTGACTATGTAAATCTACTATTTTCACAAATGTACGTCAATACTTTTCAGCATCAGTTTAATCTGACCTTGATTGATCACTAAGCCATATTTTCATTTTTGCCTCTAAGCAGTTGGAAAAAGCCATGTCAACTCAAAAATGTAAATCATTTTCATATTAACACCGTTTTACACACTAAATGAAATCTGCAGTAAAACAAGAAAGCATGAATACATCTTTTCAAAATGAACTTCTACATACTGTTTATATGAAACATTCTAAATTGGACTTTTTTATTGAGTGAACTTAAGAGCCGTAATATCAAGATTAAATGACGGAGAAGAAGGAAAACAAAGCTTACCATCATCTTCTCAAAGAGGTCAACTATTTCTTTTTCTGAGAGGTTCATGGATCTCTCGTCAAAGAAAGGCTGCGGCAGAGGGAGTTCGGCTTGGGTAGAGAAGGGATCAGTCGGGTGTTGAATAAAAGGCTTCTCCTTCTTTGCACCAGTTTTCCTAAAACTTGTTATACGATCACGCTGCAAGAAAACAACAGTTGAGAAGTGAAAATATTGCAACAAGTCTGTTTAATAGGAAAGAAAATAGTCTAGGCTGCCTGGAAAAAAAACTTCCTGTACTTTAGAAGGTTGGAAAATGTCCTGATAGCAGGACTTAGTTCTGCACAATTTACTGTAAACTTTAAACACCACTATTGTAAGGACAGCTAAAAAGTCCTCATAATAGGGGTGAGGACCTATTGCGTCTGCAAAGTGAAGGGAAATCAGAAACTTTAAAACCTGATGTAAAACAGTACAATTTTTAATTCTTAAAATTGAAAAGAAATACAAAACAAATTTTAAATAGCATCAAACATGATAAGATTCCATTAGACATCTTCAGACTTTACTTACCATCAGATTTGATATAATTACCTGTTTTGTTCTGTTTTTTGTAAGTCAAGGACAAAAAATTAAATACAACTTGTGTGCGATTAAAAACATTCCTTATTAAATTCATCAGTTAATTAAATGAATAAATCTGGGAAAGTTCAGCTCTGAGTAGAAAACATACATGGGACACATGCAGAGAGGATGACCGTTAGGTTTACTTAGTAATGGGTAAGTAGGGATAGGGGCTGTCATGCAAATGAGATGAGAATGAAATATGACTCAATGGATCAAATGTACTCCATGTTTACAGTATTTGTTAGAAACAATGAAGGATAATAAATCAGCTTTAATTCTAGCGACATCACTGTAAGAAATCAAGGAGGTTTTTGGCTATGTTCCATTTCCTCACCACTGGTAAACATTTGAACGTGAGTTTCAATATGCATCACTATGTGCCAAGTTTTGTCTTGTTGTTACAGGTTTTTTTACGGTGAGCTTTTTTTCCACTTCCTTGTGACTGAGCATGGTGGCAGATAAACTTCATTTGCTTGCGCTCCAATTATATTAAAGATTTTATGTATTAATTGTGGTAATGACAACAATTCAAAATGGAAGTCTGCAATCCCTCTTTTGAAACTCCAGAGTGAGCGGTAAATGTCTGATTGAAGTTAGATTTACACACTCAGTTTTAAAGCCATAAACATATTTTTTCCCACAGCAGTAGTTTACAGGCTACAATTAGCAATTGCATTTTTGTTTCTTTTGGTTCTGTTTTGATTAATTAAATAATTAGCAAACTGATCCTAGTTTGACTCATAATGATTATTAAAATTAAAGTATTTACAAATTCCTGAATGCATTTGTCCATTTTTAATAGTTGATCCTGAGAAATATAAAGAAATCTATCCTTTAAGGTAGTTTATTGGGGGAAAAAATCCATCCAGTGTTAAATTCGTCTTTAAAATGATCTTTGTAATATAGTATGAAAATAATACAGTTACAAGGAATTAAACAGCTGTTTAATAGTAAAAAGTTGGGCACATTTGATCCATCCACAGGTGTTTATTAAAAGTTTCATGCAACCATGGAAAAACAAGGGAAAAATGTGTGAAACAAAGCTAGTCACAGCAAAATGAAACCAAGCACCTTACCATATCATCAGCCAGTGTTTTTATGTGTATGTTCTGTTGGAGGGAGGGCACAGTATGAAAAACAATATCTAACAGAAAATAAAAACACCGCCAAACCTCAGAACATATCCAATCTTAGGTGTCTTCACATGTACAGTTTTTCTCAGAATTTGTCCCATGAAGCAGAAATGCTAAATGTCTTAGACTCACAGCAAGGAGAAGTGCCTTTTTTATGATTTAGACATGTGAGCAAATCCTGAGTACTGTACATATGAATTAAACACCTCACAATAATCTGTGCATCATTTCTGCTTCCCATTTTTAACTGACAACCAAAATAAAAAAAATTTGTCATTTGGGGAAAGAAAAAAAAAAAAAAGAAAAAATTGAATTCAGAAATGTCCTGAAAACTGCAGCAGATGTGCATCCTACCATGCTCGGAAATTAGCATCAGAAGATTGTGAGTTCTGAATGAAATATGGTGAAAAAGACCATATTTTGCTCAGAACTGACATTTTGTCAAATGTTCTTTTTTTTTTTTGGATTAATATACAAGTGAATTTGTATGCAGATTTCCACAATTGGAGATCATTTAAGCTGCTTTTTATTTATTCACCTGCATAATGCTTAAAGTTGTACATTCAAAGCACTCTTGTCTTAATATATTTTTTGCAAGACATGGTAGGTTATGGCAGACTTTTAACGTTAGCCAAAAATTTAATGTTTCTTCTATGTCATGTCAAAAATGTAACATAACACTTGATGTCAATGATGACACACAATTTTTTCACAAAGCATAATTTCTAGGTTTTAGAAAACAAGAATTGGCTTATTGAAACAAAATTTGTTCCTGCAACCCGTTTTTCCTTTTATATATTTTAAAGATGAAAAAAGGGATCTTTTTTAGTTGTCGGAGTGCTTCTTGTATCCGATTAAAAAAAATAAAAACTTTTTTTTTATGTTTGGTTGTCAATTGAAAAAGAAAAGAATGAATGATTCCCAGATTCTTGATGATCCTAAATAATAAAGTGATCATCAATTGATTTAGAGCAGCTAAATCAATTGTGATCCCCAGGGATACACAATTGAGACATAAGACCCACATGTAGACACGGGCCAGTTATCAAAGCAAATGAACGCTTTCAGCATGATGCCCAAGAATGTAATGCTTGTTTTTTTTTTCTGGTTATGTGGACCAGAGCCTTATTCAAAGAAATGTAGCTTTATCATGTTTTGAATAAATGTTCTGATTTAATGTTGTTAAATTCTGGTATTTCCATCATGAAAATCTCATAATGGCCCATGCTTACATTCAAATATAAATGGATAAAAGAAAACCCACCAGACACCCAACACCCACATTGGTTTTTCCACTTAAAACATGCAAGTTAGTTTTTGCTTAAATGAAGATGTGTGTGAAACAAATAAGAAAAACAGCAGCACACACTGCTGAGGCACAAAGATTAATTTCTTTCCAGTGCCACTGGTTCTGAGGTGCATATTTTGTGGTGACAGGGACCGAAAAGATTTACACCAAAACTTCAGCTGGAACAGATGTTTATTTTCTCCTCAAACACCATAAGAAAGCGCATTGCCACAGGGTTGTGGCTCAGCAAGGGACGGCCGTTTGAAACACACCTCAAATGGGAATCGGTAACAACTCTGCCATATGTTATGGTGCTAGGCTGTAAAGTACTAATGAGTCGGGAGATGTGGGGCTGTAATGGTCATAAAGCCTGCCTCCAGCCGTGGATTTCTCCACTATTCTAATCAGGAAAATACAGATACTGGGGCGAGGAAACAAATTGGCTTTAACCTGCACCTCCTTCTGCGAGTCTCCATAAGCTGTCGCTCTGGGCAACTCTGTGCAGACACAAAGTGCCATATCTGTCACCAGCTTTGTCTGCAACAGCTGATCAACAGTTGGAAGATGAAGCTATTAAACACAACAAAACGTGTCAATCTTCTGCATGTTTCAGACGAAGCCTGAAGTTTTATTCCACTTCCAGATATCAAACATGTCGTCTTCCCCATTCATCATATCCAGATGATTCCTTTTTCCCTGTGGGAGCCAGGTAACCACCTGGGCCTCACTAATCCAGACAAACATCAGTTCCACCAAGGCACAATTAGATGCATTTAATAAAGCTGCATCACTACTCACGAGAGCAACCTGACCTGAGCAACAACTTTTCCCATTACTAACTCAGAGCGTATGTGTCATTAAGCCCAGCATTCTCTGCCAGTCGCAAACTGCGTGAAACAATAGCTAATTTACAGACAGAGTACTTAAACATTTTCTAATCAATTTAACAACAATCAAACCACTGTTTGGTTAATTGCCTTGACTTGAGGGCCTTTCCTTGCCCATTATCTTGGCAGCATCGCAACATTGCAATTAAACACCTAACAATTAAGCTTCAATGTCCTCTGGGCTTTGCGTGCTTATTAAAGTAAACTTTTTCATCGTAATAAATGTTTATTACCAAACACATATTTCCACTAAATAATCTAATCAAATTAGCTCTGGGTCCCTCCTTAATCAAATCTGATCATGGGTCCATGCAGATCCTCAAAAATGAAAACACAAAGCAATATCCCACAACTTGAAAGGCAATTTGGGGCAAACAAAACTGTACCAGTATGCATATTTCACAAAACAACTGTTAATATCGCCATAGCAAACTGCGGTTGAATGTGAACCATATCGTTGAATAGCTCCGTTTTATTGGAAATTCATACCAGGTGGCGCATGTAATAACTTGACTTCTGAGACGGAGAGAAGATAAATCCTGCTTCAGAGTGACTATAACTCCACCGCTTTTAAAAAGCAGACCTGCCTGCACTCAGCTAATTTAACTTGAGCATCTGTATGGTGTATTTAACTCACTCACTGGAACTATCACCATAAAAATCAGAGACCACGATGCCTTTGTAAAACAACTTGAAAGAAATTAGATCTTACTTTAATTAGTTACAGCCATATGAAGGGACTGTCTAGAAATATCCTGTTTTTATTTTTATTGTCACCACTAAATATTCCAGATCAAACAATTTTTTTTTTTATTAGAAGATAGCCAGAGTAAATACAAAATGCAGATGCATATTAAAGAGAAAAAACGCTATTCAAGCAAATCTGGCTGAAGTAAAACACTAACTGTCCTCCTAAACCTAATAACTGATTGTGCCACCCTTTGCAGCAACAAATCCAACATCGCTGGGGAGAAAATCCTTTAAATAGTCACGATTCAAACACAGTGTGTGTTTTCTTTTAGCAAACTTTGACTAGGTCACTTGATAAGCATGCATTCTTTTTTCTTTATTCTTCTTTTATCTCAACTTGTGGATAACAACTCTCACTGTAGTGTGCCAAATGTATTAATCTCAAATCATTATGTCTTGCTTTTTGATAGAATTTAACCAACTTCATGCTGTCAAACAGATTCTATTTTAAGTTTTTTTTATTATTATTATTATTTTGTTAGTCTGGCAGAAATCAGGTCTGAATGCGGTCAGTGGAAATGTGAACTCTTAAAAATGCAGTCAATCACAGTCATTTTGTAATGTAAGACATAATTTTTTGTTTGTTTGTTTGTTTAACACATAGGACCTGGTTGGCCCAGCTAACTTTTTGCCCCTAAAACAAAATTATCACAAGAAAGACTTTTTTTTTTCCCTACCAACTCTGGTTGTCTTGTCCAATATTAAAGTTTGTTTCATGTTTTGAAATGTTTGAGTGGAACAAAAAAATTTAAGAAAACTGCAGTGGGTGGTATACTTCACAGCACTGTAACAAGTCTTGACAGAGAGTCGGATGCAACCACAGCTGTCAGATTTTGCCAGTCACGACATCAACTTTATTCAGAGACTGAATATTATAATTTCACAAAACATTTCCTGAGAATCTGCTAATTTCACCTCAGCAACACAAATTGAGTACATCTCAAAATTGTAAACCATAAACGAGAAGTTCTTGAATTACTATTGAAGGGGTGTCAGCCTTAATTTGCTCAGCATTTAACCAAATGAGCACCAACTGTGGTTATGAAAAAAGGCACGTTGCGTCAGTTTGTTTACTATAATTTATCCACAGTTCTACACTTATACTGATTTCATTAAATGTAGAAGAAACATGAAGCTTTCATTTATCTAAATACACCAAAGGTCAATCTAGTTCAGGAGTTAGAGGGCTTCTTTTTCCAATTACCCAAATTATCTTTGTGTAATCAAATAATATGAACAGTAATCCTTCCAATATGAGCAATTTGAAGGAGTGGTATCAAGCTGCACAGAATTCCCCCTGTGTAACCAAATCAGATCAGAATAAACTCATTAAAATGTCTAATAAATGTTGTCAACATGTAATTACAGCCTCTAAATGTGCTCCACATGTGAACAGACATCAGACATTTTGGGCGTGAATACGGACACTGTAAGTGCCAAACTGAGTCTTTCTGGTTTGAATTGCACTTTTTGTGCACCGTCTGTCACAGAAAGATGTGACAGACTAACTTGGAGATCAGCTTTTCATCTCTGATGCCAAATGAAAAAGAATTTAGTCAGTCTACAGGCAGGAAATGTGATACAGCAAGTCCAATAAATATCTGCCAGCATCACCTGGTTTCTTTTGCCATTGTTTACTAAAGCCTCTGGAAAACAACTTTAAATTAAACACCATTTATTCACATTTGTGTGATTGTGTTTATCTTCCAATTCATCTAATTAATCCACAATTTACAGAAATAATTGAATATGCAAAGGTTAAGTTCATGGACATAAAATTAAAATGCAAAGCACGATTTTGTCTAGTTTGCTTCTTTGCAAATTTGTACTGTATTCTCATGGATTAGAGGTAAAAGGTTATAAAAATTCCAAAATTTCCTTTTTAATGAAATTGCATTAAATCTGACAGCTGTACGTTATAATTTGTTGCATTTTACTTTTAATGTGATCCTCATTTGGATCAGCCAATTCTGAAAAAATAATCTAAATATGCATAAATTTTAGCTTTTCTTGGACAGCTCTGGTCCCCAACCCTAAAAAATACCAGCAGT